TAGAGTGAAATTTACATAATGGGTGCAGCTGTCTGGCTGGCATCGCTTGATCAGCTGATCAAAGGAGCAGGCCAGTAAATCTACCTAGGAACAGGCCGGCAGCCTGTCAAATACAGGAAAAAAAAACCCAGTAGAAAAGCAGGGGAAGCAATAGCCAGCGTGCTATTGGCTATTGCAATTTGCACTGCCCACTGTTTACATTCAGCTGCTGGCAACGGGATCCTGTCACCGGCAGATGAATGGGGCGGCTGCCAGCTGGCGCAGCTGCATGTACACAGAATATCGATACCTGATATCAGTTATTGGCCTGAAAGGTGGCCAATAATCGGTATTGGTTCCAAAAATAAAAATCAATAATCGGTTGATCCCTAATATAAAAATTAATTTAGCACAATGGTGAGCGCTAAGTGAGAACTCTGGAAGCCGTTTTCACCAAAAAAGTACACTTTTAATTCTGCTTCAAAAAAAAAAAAGTAGGGATGCACCAAAATAAAATGTCTAAATTAGTCAGGCCGAAACCGAAAATTTACATTTTTTTAAATATTTTTTTCATTTTTGGGAAAATATAAAATGGGTCTAAAACAGACCCCTGATATTTCCATTTTAAAATAGAAAAAGATTGGGAGGACACAGAGTCCTTAATCTCTTTTATTGCCGCTCTATTTATGAATGAACAGCAATCCTCTATACTCTAAACTGAGGAGATAGTAACGGATACTATGTCCACAATTACGAATGAACAAGAATTGATGAAGAGCACCACATTTTTGGCTCTTTTTTTTTTTTTTTACTATTGGCATTTTGCCCATAGTACCATTTTTGGTTAAAATGTTTTGGCGGCAGAAATTTTGGTGCAACCCTAACTGAAAGTAGCTTGACATCAGCATAATAACACAAACATAACAGTCCACTTATCTTCAGCAAAATGATACTACAGTCTCTCTAACTTAAAAAAGTTTTTCAGATAAGGTTTCCACAATCTCAGGGTTTCCAGGGTACTTACTGTGGACTGTTGCTTTGTTGGGTAACAGTAGTAAAACACTCCAGAATGGTTTCCCACACACCTGTGTTATTCCAGCTACTTCATACCTCCTATGTGTCCCTGGCTCTCAGCTTCACCATTCTACCAGCCTCCCTGGCTGTCTTCCATACTTCCTGTACACACGCCACTCGGCTTGACCCTTGTGCCTCTTATACACCACTTCCTGCCCCAAGCCAGCCCCATGTGCTTCCAGCACACACACACCTCTGCCACCCGCTCTAAAAAGGTGCCCATACACCTGCCGATTATCGTACGATTGTCGGCGGGTTTGTGGCCTGCTCGTAAGACAAATGCTGCCCGGGCCGGTGTGCTCAAGCGCACACTGCCCTTTCAGCATTGCAGTCAACGGAAGCCCGCCCCTCAGGGGGCGGGCTTGCGATGATCGTAAGTACGATCTGCCTGTCCAAGATGGGCAGATCGTACGTTTTTTAAATTACCTTACAACCATCGCAAGACAAAAGTCTTGCGATAGTTGTAAGGTGTATATGGGCACCATTAGGAGATTTCTGATTTTAACTTCTCCACCTGGAGGGCAATTAGCAATTCCTTTCCCACTTAAAAGGGACCATAACCCAAATAAAGGTAAAATATACCGTCATTCCAGGACCTATCCCTAGAGGATATCCCATCCAGTGCTCAGGAGACCTGCTGATTCTGCAGGAAACTAAAACTTTTAAACATTAAGGAGCAGCATCCATTGCAAATGATTTAATCAGCATTTGAAATAAGTTAAAAACATTGATATCACTTTAAGCCCCAGCCCTTCCAGTTAAAGGAAACCTCTTCTGAAAACAAATATGGTGCTACCGTTGCTAACATACTTAAGCCTGCCTGTTGACTTGCTGCTTTGCTGATCCTCTAACTTCAATAATTCAAAGTTAAAGAGATCAGAACTTCTAATCTGTGTCTGACAGCCAAGAAAAAGCCTTTTCAGAATGGGGTCAGAAATGGTAGTCTCTGTTTTCTTCCAAACACAGGTTTTCCTTTCACAGTACAAATAAAGGAAGTATATGCTCTTACACTGGACCATTATACAGGAACATCTATTTTAATGAGGAGGTAGAGCTTTACTTGAAGTTAAGAGTCTCCCAGAGACATGTAGAGAAATTGTTTAAAAAAAGAGTTCTAAAGTCACAAAATATACTATATATAAATATTATAACATCAGCATTGAATAGAAATTTGTCATATGGTTGCTTTTTGATAATGCAATGAAAGCGTACTTGAAGAAATCCCTTTAATGTAGTGAGTGCTACCTTCTGTCTGCCCATCAATTTTGACACTCCCTTGCCTATTAGCCTTGAAAATGGAGGGAATTGATTTTTAAGATTTGCCTCCCATTGACTTCAATAGGGTTTGCATTTAAGTTCGTAATTTGTGGACTTTTTGATAAGTTCACCAAAACCTAACACAAATCGAACTCACACAATTGAGCTCCCGTGATGGACTATCATCTCAATACAAAATTAGTAGGGGTGCGGAAATTAACGATTAATCCGTCGATTAATCGTTAATTTCTTTGATCGATCAAAATTATTTTGATCGACAAATTAGTCAACTAAACCTGAGATTGTAGTCCATCACAGGAGCGAGCTTGGAGCGGTGGCTACTTTACAGCACACAGGGAAAATGGGGAACAAAGCTAGCCACCATCCAGAAAGAAGGCCAGTATCATGATTTGAGGATCTACAGCTGAGTGACACACAAATAAGATACATTTTTGTTAATGGTTAAATTACTTGAATGTATTTTTAAGATTTAAAAAGGAGAACTACGAGGTGAGTGATTTTCACTCAACCTCATGATTCGTGCTGACGTGTGACAATGAAACTGTCACAGGTCAGCTCAATAGATCGGGGAGTGAACACATACCGTCGCTTGCTCACTTCTCGATCACGTCCCTGCAGAGAGCCGTGACTGTCACTCACGGCTCCCTGCACCGTAGTGAGAAAATGAGAAAAATAAATTAATAAGGAAATAAAAAATAAAAAGGAGCAGGATAGAACATTTTTCTCGAATACAATTCTAACAGCGAATGTGGTTTTTGTTCAGGAAAATTCATATAACATTTTTAAATAAAACTTTGAAAACGACATTCATCAATTCTGTTGACGGTTAGATTTTTCGTGTGAATGTACATACAAAGATCTACCAGTGTATGGCCACCTTTACACTGCCAGGCGCAGAGAACTGCATAAGTCGTTCTCAAACACTGCAGCTGATGTGATTGTCACTCTCATCCCAACAGTTGTTTCTCCACGTTATCAGCTTCCACTTTACGGCTGCCTAGACTAGCCAACAGAACCGTAGGCTGAATGCTGCATGAATGCCGGCACCCGGGACTTGCTGCTACTTGTTGCCAGGCAACAAAAGCTACAAGACTCATCTGCTGTTCTGGCAACCGTTGTTTAAGAGAGAGTACCTCTGCATCTGCAGTGTTCGATCTAAACCCTTACTGAACGACATTTGCTTTGCTAAAGTACGGTGCATCATAAACAAGGGCAAAATTGTCATAGTTGTTAAAGGAGAACTATGAGATGAGTGATTTCCACTCACCTCATAGTTCTAGCCGACCTGTGACAATGAGACTGTCACAGGTCGGCTCAGTAGATCGGGAGGTGAGCGAACACATACCGGGTTCGCTCACCTCTCGATCCTGTCACGGCTCTCTGCCGTGACAGGGGAAGGGCTGGATTCCCCTCTCCCCGCTCCGATCTGCCAGCGCTGACTGGCGGAACGGACGGGGAGGGGGCGGGTACAGCTGGCTCTGCCTCTAGATAGGCAGAGCCAGCTGTCACTCACGCAGCTGGGCGGATCCCGTCATCTACGTCGGGATCCGCTCTGGCGTCTCAGTATACCGCGAGCTGTAGCTCGCAGTATACTGAGCTTAGGGTGACGGGAGGACGCTAGTTTGTGTCCTCCCGTTACCCTAAGGAGAACTATGGGGGAAAACACTGACCCCATAGTTCTCCTTTAAGGTTGAATAAAGATATAGGTCATCGCCTTTTTCCCCCCTATCTCAATGCTGTTGATGTCCTACAATATTTTTCAGCCACTTTCTTTCTACATGCACTCACTCCAACATCAGCAGCATACCATTGCTCTGCACAGGTTTACAGACAGTGACAATGGTGAACCATGCCGTGCGTGTCTGCATGGCCGCTTGTAAACGTAGCCAGGAGCCATGTGTGTCAATAAGTGATGAGCCTGGGTTTGGCGCAAACCCAGTTAGTTCAAGCCCGCTCATAACTGTGACTGACACGACACGCAACTGTGACTTACACGATACCCCTCCCGGCTCAATCAGTTGCAGCAGGTACATTCCCTGCACCGCAGCCATACACCACAAAGGGGTGGGGACTGCCCCCAGCGCAACTACCGCCATTGACTGGGACGGGGAAGGCGGTCATTGCGGACTTGGGTTCACAACAAGCCCAGGATCATCGCTAGTAACAACACAGGAGCACAATTGGGAGTTTCTCAAAGAAAGTGCCTGGACCTTGGTGAAGACCAAGACAGGACCACCAGGAATGATTTTAATCAAAGCTGCTGATTTAAAACAGACTGAAAACAACTTCTGGAAGTCCATTGACATGTTAGAAGATATATGAGATTTGAGTGACTTTGTGAACATTAAATAAATACAGATATTTATAGTAAATATAATAAACTGGCATAAAGGTTCATATGCAGACATTACATCAATGTAGTGTGGACTACCCCCCACCCCCCCTTATATATGAGTATATATGTATATAATATAGTGACAGTGACAACATTATTGCAGCATGTCTGCACCCTCTGACAGGCACATGGGACAAGCCATCAGAAAAAGTACAAATGAATGAAACCTCACATGCCACCAAAGTGACACACAAAGTGACATCCCTGACAAATGAGAAGCATGCACATGCTACAAAACCATAAACTCGAATAAGAGCAGTGTCAGGACACTCACCTGCTACTATGCACTTAGCTGACAGTTTCACCATTATGTTTGCTGTCTTCTTACCAAGCTCATACAACGTCTCTTAATGGCAAGATGAAAGCTGTGCACAAGCAATGTCCACTATTGCATGCATATATGTCCTTTCACTGAGCTCAGCAAAGGCTCCTCACATCAGCTACCAGAAGGTTGGAGGCTTTGTTTACACTTCTGTATCCCTGAGCAGCGCACGCATGCACGTTCCCCTATTCACACACTGCACATGTGCGGTGTATCGTGCACGCGCCCTTTTCTACATACTGCACATGCGCGGAGTGTCCTGCACGCTCCCCTCTCTACACATTGCATGGAGCGCTGTGCACGCTAGCTTCTCTACACACTGCACATGCGCAAGGTATTGTGCACGCGCTCTTCTGTGCACATGCACGCAGTGTTGTTCGCTCTCCCTTGTTTACACACGGTACACGTGAGGGGTACTGTGCACGCTCCCTTCTCTACACTCCGCCCGTGCACGGAGTGTTGTACACGCTCCCTTCTTCACAAACAATATATGTGTGCGAGATATTGTGCACGTTCCCTAGCTCTGCCTGCTCTAATACAGAAGGCGTGCTTCACTGAATCTTTGCATCCCTAGGCGCTACTATGGTTAACCCTTTAGTGACCAGCATCTTCCAGGTGTCTGTGTAGTGTTAACCCTTCCGTGACTAGCGGCAGCTTTTTAGGTGGCTGGGCAGGATTTGTTTTGAGACCAGAAGCGACTCCCTGGTGCATGAGTTGGAGTGACCTTGCCTGACCTCTCTATTGTCAGTACAAAAGCATCCCATGTGTTTGACCTTTGATTCAGAAACATCTCCTCTTCCTAATAGTGGAGCTTGCTGACCCTTTTTTACTATGATTGTCTCTTACTCTATGCTTTGGAATCCCCTTATCCCCAAATATTCCAGAGTACAACTTGCCAACAGAGCTACCACTTTGCAGCACTCCCAGATGAGTCACTGGTGTCACCCAGACCACTAAACTATATGCCAGGTGCCTGGCATCCCATAATGCTGTCTGCAATCCCGACAACATCGTTCCTGCTCACCTGGGTACCTGCACCCCGCAAAGAAGCACCCCGCAAAACATGCTTCACCCAATCTCTCATCCTAAAATAAGTTTCTGTTCACACTCGTGCATCTGCATTTTTATGTGTTTTTGTTGTGCATTTTAGGGCCCATTCACACTGGATCTGTTGCATTGCGATCGATTGCGTTGCAGTACATTTTTTAACAGATGTTAATGGAAGTGCACCGAAAAATTAATGGGGCTAGTTCACACCAGATCTGTTACGTTGCACTGAACAAAAAAGACCAACGTAACGTAACAAATCTGGTGTGAATTAGCCCCATTCACACCCATTCATTTTTCAGTGCCCTTCCGTTAGCATCCATTGAAAAACAGATCACAATACCATGGATCGGAGGGTACAACTGCAAGTCAACAGACCCACCTTTGACTTGCGATTTTCTTCTGATTTTGGTGTGAATGCACCCTTAATGTGTTTTTGTGTGTTTTGATTAGGCCAGTTAAGGTGCAATAAAGTATAGGTTGCTTGGGAGTGGGTTCTTGCCATGTGCTAAAACACATGAAAATGCATGTTAGGGGAATTTTCAAGCATTTTTCAAATGCTCCCATTAAAATGTATGGGTCTAGAAAAGCACCAAGAGAAGCACCTGCAGCTATGCGGCACACTGCATAAGTGTGAATGGGCCCCGTAGAAAAGAATGGGATTCCTTTTGTTGTACCATTGTTGCACGATGGCGCAAGCATTTCAGAATGCACAGGGACTAATGCCTGCAATGGCACCAACACCTAACCAGTTCAGCCATGTACCTGTACCCCCTAGGAGAGCCATTTCTTCTAACTTTCACAATCAGGTTTTAGAGTGTAGGAATGCCTCTTATCCTATAAAACTGTGCACCATCACTAGACATCCCAGAATACCACATAATGCTGCCTGGAAACTCGCCAATACTATTCCAGCTCATGTGGGTATCTGAACCTCCAGAGGGCCATGTCCACTAGGGCATACCACATTTCGCAGAAATATTTAGATATAGAGTAACCCACAATACTCTGCAATATTCCTTTCAACACTTTCATTTCCTCCAACAACTCTTTCACTTATTGGATCAACATGACCAGCTTTGCAGGTAGCCTAAGATCACTTGATGGAAATATCTGGGGCCACAGTCAACTCTCTGGGAAGCCTGTGTTCTAGGGCTGCAGCTAACGATTATTTTCATAATCTATTCATTCCCCAATTATTTTCATAATCTATTCATTCCCCGATTATTTTTTCAACTATTCGATTGGTTGTATAAAAAAGAATTATCTCTCTCTCGCTCTCTCCTTCCCCAACCAACTAATCGATGATGAGAATAGTTGCCAACTATTCTCATCATCGATTATTATCGATTTAGTCGATTAGTTGTTGCAGCTCTACTGTGTTCTGCACACCAACGCCATAATCTTGCTTTCAAATCACAGGTGTCCATAGATATCCATCAGGTGTCGGGAGCCATTTAACATGCGAGGAAACCCAAAACAGATCCTAATGCATTGGCTGCTGTTGTTCAAATGCCCCTACTTCGCTGCTCCCTGACTGCTGCAAGTATTCCACCCTTTTGGGTTCGTGGAAGTACCTGCCTCCCTCTGTATGAAGTGGTTTCTCCCTCAGGGGACACATGACAACAGGACACATGAGGCATCAGAAGGAAGCACAGCTTGCAGCAGGGGTAACATGTATTTGACTGATCCCACCAGCCAATTGCTTGCAGTAGCCAGTGAGGAGCAAATAAATGGTGTTTTGATAAACAGGCCACTGGAAAGGTAAATATATTCCTTTTACATAGACACTGACCCTGTGCTGACCCTATTACACTATACTCAACGCATACAATAACTTACCAAGAGCATACTTCTGACGCTGTACTTTATCACTTATCTTTTTGCATAAAACATCTTGATACTGGACCAAATGTTCTTGCCGCTGTCCATGCTGGCACAACAGCTCCCCAAAGACTTCCATAGGACCATCTCTTAATATGACACTAAACTCCGGAGTTAAGCCTTAAAATGCATTCAAATACCTTAACCATTAACAAAAATGTATCTTATTTGTGTATCACTCAGCTGTAGATCCTCAAATTATCTCTGAATTCCTTCTGTCCTTCCTTCTGGAGGATGGCTACTTTTGTTCTCCATGGCCCCTGTGTGTGTGTTGTAAATTAGCTCCAACATCTGAATAGGATTCCTATTCAGCCACCGGGGAGATGTTAGTCATAAAAGGGTTTATCCTATCCTGCTACATAGGAGATGTTAGTCATAAAAGGGTTAATCCTGGGGGGCGTGGCTTGGCTATGGCGGCGTGAGGAAGCACATTGCTTGAGCTCTGCTGCCACCTGACACTTTTCAGCTGATCACGGCATCCCATAACCTCGCTTTTAATGTCGTTGAAGACCAATTCTCGTCCTACCGACGACCAACGACCCCAGACATCCTTACAGCGCTTCCTGTCTACACCAGCCTCCTCAACCCGCAGCTCATCTAAAGGCCTCATGACCCCCGGGACGCAAGGTATAACCCCGAGGCCTACTTCCCCCCCCCCCAGCTTCGGGAAGCCTCGGCCTCGCCTGCCACAACGGACCCGAGTGTCCAAGTACCCCCATCGGCGATAGCCCCTTCGCATTGCTCCAGTCCCATTGAAGAGCCTCATCTCCCGCTCACGCTTACACCGATGCAGACCCTGACCGCGTCTTCCACTCTCTCCACGGAGGAGATATCCGCCATCTTGCTCTCCCTCCCCACGAGGCAAGATATGACCGCCATTGTCTCCAAAATGGAGAACACGCTAAAGAGGGATATTGCTGGCATCCACAAATCCGTCTCCCATCTGGAAGCGGCGGTCTCCACCCTATCCACCGAACAGACAGGCCTGGCACAACGAGTTGAGCGCCTGGAGTCGGTCTCGGCCTCTCATGACCGCCACCTCATGGATGTCCTGATCGCACAAGATGACCTCGAAAACAGAACCCGACGGAACAACGTCAAGCTCCGGGGGCTCCCGGAGGCTACTACCCCGGCGGGTCTACGTCCAACTGTGACCGCCATTCTCAATGCCATTCTGGACAAGGCCCCAGACTCTCCGTTGGAAATAGACCGCGTACACCGTGTTGGCAACCCCAGGCCCGATGGCGATATGAGACCTAGGGACGTTCTGTGCCGAATACATTTCTTCGGGGAAAAAGAAGACCTCCGCCCGGGTCCGGGTGAATGGCGTGTAACATCCTGAAACAATCCATCCTTCCCCGACTTTTATACCCCCTTCAAGCCCTCCCTATCAAGATACCACCTTCCTTCTTCCGATCCATCCTATCCCTTTTCACCAGTTTTGTTTGGGCGGGCAAACCTCCTAGGCTCAAGTACAACCTTCTACGCTTACCTAAAAGCAGCGGAGGAATGGGTCTACCAGATGTACACCTCTATTACATAGCTGTCCACTTGACGCGAGTACTGGATTGGTGTCGTCATCAAAACACAAAGCTCTGGACCGGCCTGGAGCAATCCTCCTCGCCAGTGCCACTATCAGGTCTACCCTGGTGCTCGCCCCACACCCTCCCCACCGTCCGCTCGCACCCCACTATCATGCCCACGCTAACAATAGCCCGTTCTGCCTTTTTGCAGTACTCCCTGTTGCCCTCACCATCTCCCTTGATCCCGGTTCTGGGAAATCCGGCCTTCCCTCCAGGGGTAGATGACAAACACCTCCTTAACCTCAGGACCTCAGGCTGAATAGGAATCCTATTCAGCCACCGGGGAGATGTTAGTCATAAAAGGGTTTACAACACACACACTTTACAACACACACACACACTTTACAACACACACACTAACATCTCCCCGGTGGCTGAATAGGAATCCTATTCAGCCACCGGGGAGATGTTAGTCATAAAAGGGTTAATCCTATCCTGCTACATGGGAGATGTTAGTCATAAAAGGGTTAATCCTACCCAGCTACATGGGAGCTCTTAGACAGCCAGATAGATTTTAGTCATAAAAGGGTTAATACTATCCAGCTATCAGGGAGATATCAGTCATAAAGGGTTAATTCTATCCATCTATCAGTGAGATGCGCCTCTAATGGTCAATTTAGAAATGACTATAGAGAACAAAATCGCTTATTGGC